CCCTGCGGATGCTGCTGAGGCACCGTGTCCTCCAAGAGAGCCATCATAACCATAACCATTTCCGGCTGCTGAACCAGCTGCTGCTGCTGCATACCCTGATCCATAACGATCTTTTTGACGGAAATCTCCATAATATACGTATTCTCCTCCTCTATTGTAATCAGTCACGTAATTCAATCCAGAATTCAAAGCAGTGGCTACTACTGCTGCATTTCCTGCCCCATTACCTCCTCTTTGATAGAAATCACCACCATAGGGTGCGTAAGTATCGGTATCAGATATTGTATAACTGTTGCCTAATGCTGCTACCGCAGCACCGTGTCCTCCATGAGAGCCTTCATAACCATAACCATAACCATTTCCGGCTGCTGAACCAGCTGCTGCTGCTGCAGATGCTGCAGCTGCTGCTTCTCCGATGCCTAGGCCTTCGCGAGTTGCACTATTAGCGTTTGCTGTTGCTGCTGCCCCTGCGGATGCTGCTGAGGCACCGTGTCCTCCAAGAGAGCCATCATAACCATAACCATTTCCGGCTGCTGAAGCAGCTGCTGCTGCTGCAGATGCTGCAGCTGCTGCTTCTCCGGTGCCTAGGAGTTCGCGAGTTGCACTATTAGCCTTTGCTGTTGCTGCTCCCACTGCGGATGCGCCTGACGCACCGTATCCTCCAGGAGAGCCACCATAACCATAACCATAACCGTTTCCGGCTGCTGAACCAGCTGCTGCCCCTGCGGATGCTGCTGAGGCACCGTGTCCTCCAAGGGAGCCATCATAACCATAAACATAACCATTTCCGGCTGCTGAACCAGCTGCTGCTGCTGCGGATGCTGCAGCTGCTGCTTGTTCGGTGTATAGGCCTTCGCGAGTTGCACTATCACCGTTTGCTGTTGCTGCTGCCACTGCGGATGCGCCTGACGCACCGTGTCCTCCAAGAGAGATATCATAACCATAACCATAACCGTTTCCGGCTGCTGAACCAGCTGCTGCCCCTGCGGATGCTGCTGAGGCACCGTGTCCTCCAAGAGGGCCATTATAACCATAACCATAACCATTTCCGGCTGCTGAACCAGCTGCTGCCCCTGCGGATGCTGCTGAGGCACCGTGTCCTCCAAGAGAGCCATCATAACCATAACCATTTCCGGCTGCTGAAGCAGCTGCTGCTGCTGCAGATGCTGCAGCTGCTGCTTCTCCGGTGCCTAGGAGTTCGCGAGTTGCACTATTAGCGTTTGCTGTTGCTGCTGCCACTGCAGATGCGCCTGAGGCGCCGTGTCCTCCAGGAGAGCCACCATAACCATAACCATAACCGTTACCGGCTGCTGAACCAGCTGCTGCCCCTGCGGATGCTGCTGAGGCACCGTGTCCTCCAAGGGAGCCATCATAACCATAACCATAACCATTTCCGGCTGCTGAACCAGCTGCTGCCCCTGCGGATGCTGCTGAGGCACCGTGTCCTCCAAGAGGGCCATCATAACCATAACCATAACCATTTCCGGCTGCTGAACCAGCTGCTGCTGCTGCGGTTGCTGCAGCTGCTGCTTGTTCGGTGTCTAGGCCTTCGCGAGTTGCACTATTAGCGTTTGCTGTTGCTGCTGCCCCTGCGGATGCTGCTGAGGCACCGTGTCCTCCAAGAGAGATATCATAACCATAACCAGTTCCGGCTGCTGAACCAGCTGCTGCCCCTGCGGATGCTGCTGAGGCACCGTGTCCTCCAGGAGAGCCACCATAACCATAACCATAACCGTTTCCGGCTGCTGAACCAGCTGCTGCCCCTGCGGATGCTGCTGAGGCACCGTGACCTCCAAGAGAGCCATCATAACCATAACCATAACCATATCCGGCTGCTGAACCAGCTGCTGCTGCTGCGGATGCTGCAGCTGCTGCTTGTTCGGTGTATAGGCCTTCGCGAGTTGCACTATCAGCGTTTGCTGTTGCTGCTGCCACTGCGGATGCGCCTGACGCACCGTGTCCTCCAAGAGAGATATCATAACCATAACCATAACCAGTTCCGGCTGCTGAACCAGCTGCTGCCCCTGCGGATGCTGCTGAGGCACCGTGTCTTCCAAGATAGCCATCATAACCATAACCATTTCCGGCTGCTGAACCAGCTGCTGCCCCTGCGGATGCTGCTGAGGCCCCGTGTCCTACAAGAGGGCCATTATAACCATAACCATAACCATTTCCGGCTGCTGAACCAGCTGCTGCCCCTGCGGATGCTGCTGAGGCACCGTGTCCTCCAAGAGAGCCATCATAACCATAACCATTTCCGGCTGCTGAAGCAGCTGCTGCTGCTGCAGATGCTGCAGCTGCTGCTTCTCCGGTGCCTAGGAGTTCGCGAGTTGCACTATCACCGTTTGCTGTTGCTGCTGCCACTGCGGATGCGCCTGACGCACCGTGTCCTCCAAGAGAGATATCATAACCATAACCATAACCATAACCGTTTCCGGCTGCTGAACCAGCTGCTGCCCCTGCGGATGCTGCTGAGGCACCGTGTCCTCCAAGAGGGCCATTATAACCATAACCATAACCATTTCCGGCTGCTGAACCAGCTGCTGCCCCTGCGGATGCTGCTGAGGCACCGTGTCCTCCAAGAGAGCCATCATAACCATAACCATTTCCGGCTGCTGAAGCAGCTGCTGCTGCTGCAGATGCTGCAGCTGCTGCTTCTCCGGTGCCTAGGAGTTCGCGAGTTGCACTTTTAGCGTTTGCTGTTGCTGCTGCCACTGCAGATGCGCCTGAGGCGCCGTGTCCTCCAGGAGAGCCACCATAACCATAACCATAACCGTTACCGGCTGCTGAACCAGCTGCTGCCCCTGCGGATGCTGCTGAGGCACCGTGTCCTCCAAGGGAGCCATCATAACCATAACCATAACCATTTCCGGCTGCTGAACCAGCTGCTGCCCCTGCGGATGCTGCTGAGGCACCGTGTCCTCCAAGAGGGCCATCATAACCATAACCATAACCATTTCCGGCTGCTAAACCAGCTGCTGCTGCTGCGGTTGCTGCAGCTGCTGCTTGTTCGGTGTCTAGGCCTTCGCGAGTTGCACTATTAGCGTTTGCTGTTGCTGCTGCCCCTGCGGATGCTGCTGAGGCACCGTGTCCTCCAAGAGAGATATCATAACCATAACCAGTTCCGGCTGCTGAACCAGCTGCTGCCCCTGCGGATGCTGCTGAGGCACCGTGTCCTCCAGGAGAGCCACCATAACCATAACCATAACCGTTTCCGGCTGCTGAACCAGCTGCTGCCCCTGCGGATGCTGCTGAGGCACCGTGTCCTCCAAGAGAGCCATCATAACCATAACCATAACCAGTTCCGGCTGCTGAACCAGCTGCTGCCCCTGCGGATGCTGCTGAGGCACCGTGTCCTCCAAGAGAGCCATCATAACCATAACCATTTCCGGCTGCTGAACCAGCTGCTGCCCCTGCGGATGCTGCTGAGGCACCGTGTCCTCCAAGAGAGCCATCATAACCATAACCATTTCCGGCTGCTGAACCAGCTGCTGCTGCTGCGAATGCTGCAGCTGCTGCTTGTTCGGTGTCTAGGCCTTCGCGAGTTGCACTATTAGCGTTTGCTGTTGCTGCTGCCACTGCGGATGCGCCTGAGGCACCGTGTCCTCCATGAGAGCCACCATAACCATAACCGTTTCCGGCTGCTGAACCAGCTGCTGCCCCTGCGGATGCTGCTGAGTCACCGTATCCTCCAAGAGCCCCATCATAACCATAACCATAACCATTTCCGGCTGCTGAACCAGCTGCTGCTGCTGCGGATGCTGCAGCTGCTGCTTGTTCGGTGTCTAGGCCTTCGCGAGTTGCACTATTAGCGTTTGCTGTTGCTGCTGCCCCTGCGGATGCTACTGAGGCACCGTGTCCTCCAAAAGAGCCATCATAACCATAACCATTTCCGGCTGCTGAACCAGCTGCTGCTGCTGCATACCCTGATCCGTAACGATCTCCTTGACGGAAATCTCCAGAATATACGTATTCTCCTCCTCTATTGTAATCAGTCACGTAATTCAATCCAGAATTCAAAGCAGTGGCTACTACTGCTGCATTTCCTGCCCCATTACCTCCTCTTTGATAGAAATCACCACCATAAGGTGCGTAATTATCGGTATCAGATATTGTATAACTGTTGCCTAATGCTGCTACCGCAGCACCGTGTCCTCCATGAGAGCCTTCATAACCATAACCATAACCAGTTCCGGCTGCTGAACCAGCTGCTGCTGCTGCAGATGCTGCAGCTGCTGCTTCTCCGGTGCCTAGGCCTTCGCGAGTTGCACTATTAGCGTTTGCTGTTGCTGCTGCCACTGCGGATGCGCCTGAGGCACCGTGTCCTCCAAGAGAGATATCATAACCATAACCATAACCAGTTCCGGCTGCTGAACCAGCCGCTGCCCCTGCGGATACTGCTGAGGCACCGTGTCCTCCAAGAGAGCCATCATAACCATAACCATAACCATTTCCGGCTGCTGAACCAGCTGCTGCCCCTGCGGATGCTGCTGAGGCACCGTGTCCTCCAAGAGAGCCATCATAACCATAACCATTTCCGGCTGCTGAACCAGCTGCTGCTGCTGCGAATGCTGCAGCTGCTGCTTGTTCGGTGTCTAGGCCTTCGCGAGTTGCACTATTAGCGTTTGCTGTTGCTGCTGCCACTGCAGATGCGCCTGAGGCACCGTGTCCTCCATGAGAGCCACCATAACCATAACCATAACCATTTCCGGCTGCTGAACCAGCAGCTGCTGCTGCGGATGCTGCAGCTGCTGCTTGTTCGGTGTCTAGGCCTTCGCGAGTTGCACTATTAGCGTTTGCTGTTGCTGCCGCCACTGCGGATGCGCCTGAGGCACCGTGTCCTCCAAGAGAGCCATCATAACCATAACCATAACCATTTCCGGCTGCTGAACCAGCTGCTGCTGCATACCCTGATCCGTAACGATCTCTTTGACCGAAATCTCCATAATATGATTGACGGTAATATTCATGAGGTCCGGATTGTTTTCCTCTATAGTAACCAGTGACGTCATTCTGTTGTCTGACACCTGCTGCTTCGGATGCTGTGCTGATCGCTGAGCTACTAGCGCTATAGCCTTGTTTAACTCCTTGACTGTGTGCGGAACGTGCACTTGCTGAAGATGATGCTGACGCTGATGCCGATGATGACGAGGACTCTAAAGCGTCATCAATTAAAATCGTTTCCTTCTCAATTATAGACTCTGACCCATCCTTGTTTGTCACAATAGTAAAGGTCCTTGTCGTACCAGGCTTGAAATGATGTTTTCCTGTGACGTTAACTTTTTTTTCGAGTATAAATTCCTCATATTCTTTTCCGTCCTCTATGAAAAATTTGTCACTTTTTACGGTAGCATCGCTTTGCATTTGTCTCTCTATTGCATCGAAATCGATAGTGTCTCTGTTGAAGTTAGCTGCGGCATACTGGAAACAAAGACATTGTAGCTTTATTTCTAATGATTTACATACACACACCAACCGTCACCACCTTTCTAAGCAGAGGCCCTAGTCCAGTAGTGGACTATTACAGGCTGTTGATGATGATGATGAAATAGTCACGGTTTTATCCCAGAAGTGTTCGAAAACGCGTATTAAACGTGTATTAAACTACATTTTAATTATTGTAATTTTAGTGCCTATTGCTGTCAACTGAACACATACATTTCTAAATAAACATACTTATATATTTCAAAATACTTACATATTAAAAATAAATTACATCCAGAGACGGAATAAATGACTGCGCTGATTCCACAATATTTGTCCTGGGTGGAATTTAACCAACCACCACCTCTAGTAGTAGACCAGTAATCAAATAGTCAATCATATAGAAGTGTTTCTACTCCCTAGTTGAAAGTTGCAATCTGTATAAGTTTATAAATTCTGAACCTGAACCTGACTTAATAAATTGAGGATCCAGAGACTTCAGAGTTTCGTAATGAAATATGTGAATTTGTAAATTATTCTACCACCAAATATATTATTATTCCTTTTACAATTCTGAACCTACGCTACTCCTATTGTACTCAGTAATAGCAAAATAATTTTCTATCACACCTAATGTTTTTATTAATAACTAACTAAACCCTGCCACTCTTCGCTGTGGTACATTGAAATTGCATTGGTGAGAAATGAGAAACAAAATTGACATAAAAGATAGATAAAAACAATCCTAGGAAGCGGATTGCATATCGTGTTAAAATTTGAGCGTAATTGGTGCAGCACTATTTGAGTTTTTGAAGCGTACACAAACCGACTTAACATTTTTATATATTATGTATAGATAGAACAATACGATAAAATCATTTTAGTGAGTTCAATACCGATAAATCAAGAAGCAATAACGTATTTTTCTTCAATTCCCACGGGTATCAGAGTCTAAAATTATTTTAAGCCCACTGAAATAAGTCTAATGATTTTCTAGGGTAATTTTTTACAGTCTCAGGCTCAGTGTTACAAAACATCATACAATCCGCTTGACAAATACGAAGTGTATTATTTTTTTTATATTGTAATATTTTCTTTAGGTATTATAAGGTAGGAATACTCACCTGCAAAGTGCAGCACAGGATCACGATGGTTATTCCCCTCATGTTGATGAGAGTTGAAACCGGACTGATGCCGACTGAACATTTTTTTATGTATTTATACTGAAAAATCTGACTTAGCATTGACGTAAATACAGTATAAAACAAAAGGATTTAAATAAATATTGACAAATACACAAAGAAAGCACTCTTATAGAAAATTATAGCAATGTATTCAACGTGATTTTAAACAATATGTTGTGATTAAAACTTGATTAAGGTATTGTAAGGCGTCCATTGTAATTTAACAACTTATTTACGTAGTACGAATGTTACACTAGTAGTGTAAGTATTGATACACGTGTTCATTTTTAAGTTTATAAGATATTATATATTTGATCCGTCTAGTGCAGAAAAAATTGCCAAATCAATAATGGCAATTATATCATCCGTCGTTCAGTTCGAAGTCTACAGCTGAACGAAAGCCTTCCCCAAGGAGCGCTGACTATCCCGGTCTTGGCCAGTCCGGTAATAATAATAGTTGTACTCCTATATTGACAATTTCTTTTAATTTAAATGCATATTGAGGAAAGTGGTTTACTTAGTTGTATCGAAATAGATTTCTAATAATTATATTAAAGAGATGTTTTTTTAGAGATAATATTGATACAGAACCTTTTTTAACCAATGCTATCCCTAAAGTGTGTCTGCGTGTGTTTGTATTTATCTATGTGCCTGTTTCCTTGTAGATTCCAAACGAATAGGTTAATTTTGATTGTTTGCATTTTGTAAATAATTGTCTATTGAAATTTAAGAATTTATATTACCTATCAAGTAGAAAATATTGTAGCAGCACCAAGAAACAAGTAACAGTTATATACATTTATTTTAGAACTAGCTGGGACCCGCGGTGTTACCCGCGTTTGTTGTTATAACCGCGGGTAACGCCGCGGGGCGAAGCTAGTCTAAAAAAGTAGCCTAAGTTACTCCTTATGTCATCAGCTATCTGCCAGTGAAGGTCCCGTCGAAATCGGTCCAGCCGTTCCAGAGATTACCCGGAACAAACAGACAGACAGACAGACAAAAATTGTAAAAATGTTATTTTGACATATGTACCGTGTAAACATACATATGCATTTAGTAAAAAGCGGTTATTTTAATTTTACAAACAGACACTCCAATTTTATTTATTTGTATAGAGTATTGAACTTGGCTCTCATTTCATTTATGTTTTTGATGGCTATCTTATTATGGGTTTTATAACGGGTTTTTTAATATCTTTACTTCAACGTTTTGAAGTGGGTCAAAATCACGTTCGAAGATTCTGTTACATACATAGATACATTACATACCAAGCTTTTGTTTTTCAAGAATTTTCATCAGGTATTAAAAAATACTAGAGATCTCCTGAATTTCGAGTTTCGATAGTTTTATATGTCTTGTTTTATGTTCTGGCCAGTATAACTTGAACTCTCATTGTATAATACTCTTGTACCGTGGCAGGTCAAAACTTATCCTGGACCTCAATAGTTTAGTTCCCTGTTTCTTCCCCTGCATTCAGGTCTCTACTCTGCTTCTAAAAGTCATAAGGTAATGTTTTATAGTCGATTTTTTTTGGAACGAACTTCATAAGCTCTTAGCCTACCAACAAATGTGTAACAAGACTTTTTGCCGACATGTCGTGCTATAGTTACGGTCGTGTATGAACTATATACATCGGCTTTTTGTTACTAACTTAATTATCCCAGATCATTCAATGTTTAATTTATCATTACTTATTTTATACATAATAAATATTTGTCATCAATTTTTCAATTAAACTCTATTACCTTAATATTTTAATGACTGTATAGCAAACGTGTACCAACAAGCGAAAGGAACTTAGTTCCGACCGGGCGTCCATAGACCCCTCACGCCGTTTTTTATTTATACTTTAGGCACAAATGTCCCATGTGTGTTTTTAGGCAAAAAAACTTTTTTAATAATAAACCGAACCATGAACAAGAAAGTTATAGTTTATTTCCCACCTCGGTAAAAAACTACGTTTTCACTTAAACATTCAATAGGTATTCTTAATCCGGTGGATTGTGTGACGGATTAAGAATACAGACCACCCCCATTCATCCCGTGGGTGTCGTAAGAGCCGACTAAGCACTGCACTGCAAGGAAAACTTGAAAAAAAACCCTTTTTTTTTTTGACGTGTGGAAATCCCCTCGGACCGTCACCCCACCGGGGTTTGCGACGGAGTGGTGTGTCGGACTCGGACCGACTAAAACCACACGGTGTGCCACTCTGGGCCTGTAATAGGAGGGATCCGGGAACAGCTGTTGTTAAGACATCCGGATTGAAAAAAACCCTACACCAACCCGTCTAGCCAGTGTGGTATAGTAGGCCAAAACCTTCTTTATAAGGAGAGACCTATGTCCAGCAGTGGACAAGTAAAGGCTGTTGATGATGATGATGATGATTAAATAGGTACCTATATCTTTCAGCGTTCTCACAAATTGTAAAATATATTACTTTATTTTATTACATATTTTTTTGTCAATGTCCTAGTAGGAGGTAGATCTGGACGTGTCTACCAGTTCAGATCAGAACATCCCTTTTAAAATGACTGCACGGATGGCGTAGTGGTTTAAGCGGTCGCCACGCCGCTTCCTACTACGCCGAGTGTTGTGGGTTCAAACCCCACATGGGACGACACTTTGTGTGATCCACAAATTGTTGTTCTGAGTCTGGGTGTTCTTTGTGTCCGTTTCATGTATGTTTGTAAAGTCCCCCGCGACACAGGATTTATTCCTAATGCGGGAGTTGTCTTTTTTAAACAAAATTATCGATATTTTAAGACCAATTTAGAACAGAATTTAGTGACATGTTGTGTTTGCCTTTAAGTGTTTGTAACGCTAATGTTGTGTCAACTATGAATTCTGTCTTGCAATAATTATATTTGTGTATACAAATGATGACGAACCTTGATCAATAGAAAAATGAAAGTTATAATTTACCTACTATATAATATACCAAAAAGTGTATACTGTGTATGGTATTTGGTTCAGCAACAGTTCAGGCTGTCCTACCTAGATGTCGCTGACCATACTTCGTAGTCGCGTGTTAAAAGAACTTGTTAAATGTTAAAAATGATAGCAATTTTTCCAGTCGTTAATATAAAAAGATAGAACGGGTACAATTGGATGACTATTAGCTATTATTTCCATGCCCATTACAAGTAATATCCCATTCCTACCACATTACACCTTCTGATCTACGTTTTCTTTCAATATACGTACTTAAGTGGAACTAAAAATATTGTAAACCAAATATAAAAGTTTCGTCTTTATACAATACCTACGTTTGGTGAGTGTAAAATGTAAATCTTAGATCTAAGGTACCGTTGTGAGTTCAATCCATACTTCCATACTTATAAATGTGAAAGAGAGTGCTTGTTTTTTACGATTTCACGCCTAAACCACTAAACCGATTTTAAATATTCTTTTACTAATTGAAAACTACATTATCAGCGTGTAACATAGGCCATTTTTAATCGTGATAACCCACATACGTAACAGTAGCTTATGATCTATTCTATACAAATAAATAAAATTGGAGTGTCTGTTTGTAATATTAAAATAACCGCTTTTTACTAAATGCATATGTATGTTTACACGGTACTTATGTCAAAATATCATTTTTTACCATTTTTGTCTGTCTGTCTGTATGTCTGTCTGTTTGTTCCGGGTAATCTCTGGAACGGCTGGACCGATTTCGACGGGACTTTCACCGGCGTCTTAGACCCGCGGTGTTACCCGCGTTTGTTGTTATATCCGCGGGCAACGCCGCGGGGCGAAGCTAGTCTAAAAAAAGTAGCCTAAGTTACTCCTTATGTCATCAGCTATCTGCCAGTGAAAGTCCCGTCGAAATCGGTCTAGTCGTTCCAGAGATTACCCGGAACAAACAGACAGACAGACAAAAATTGTAAAAAATGTTATTTTGGCATATGTACCGTGTAAACATACATATGCATTTAGTAAAAAGCGGTTATTTTAATATTACAAACAGACACCAATTTTATTTATTTGTATAGATTTTATATAAAATTAATTCAGCCGTGAAGGAATAAGAAACATAAATAACCCACACAATCTTTCACTTTATAATATTAGACTGTCCTATTAGTCTAGTTTAGAGGTAAGTAATCGATGTTCCATGCCCACCCAGGTTTAATATTGTGTGATGAGCACGATTATTTGTTCTGTGTTTGGGTGTGATTTACCTATCTATAATATTATGTTTTGTATTTAGAAATATATATGTATGTTTATTTAGAAATATATGTAGCAGGTTGATGGCAATACGGTTTGCCCGTTTGGTTACGTAAATATCAACTATCTCAGTAAAAAGAAGCCTATATGCCTAAGCCTGAAGAATCAAAGTATCTCCATACTAAATTCCATGTAAATCGGTTCAGCGGTTATTGATTCCCTATACAAACTTACGCCCCCTTTTCACCTCCTTAAAGGATGTTTTCTGGGATAAAAACTACCCTATGTCCTTTCCCGGAACAAGGAGCATCTCTGTACCAAATTTCATCTGAATCGGTTCAGCGTTTCCAGCGTGAAGAGGGAGCAGACAGAAAGGCAGACAGACAGACACACTGTTGAATTTATTATAATATTAGTATGGAAGTATGGACTAGTAGCCTTTGTTGCGTCTGCATCGGGAGGTGCACAGGCCAGGTGGAATGACGATTTGCGCAAGATGGCTGGCAGGAGCTGGATGCGAGAAGCCCAAAATCGATCTAAGTGGCGTGCAATGGGAGAGGCCTATGTCCAGCAGTATACTGCGATAGGCTGATGATGTTGATGGACTAGTATGGATATGTGCTAAAAGGTTGAAAATTTTGTAAAAACGGCTACCTGCATAACTACAGCTATGCAGCTGCCAGTAACCATTTTTAAATAATTTTTACACGTCTAGACAAAAGTCTATACACCAGCGGTTCAAGTTACACTGGCCGGTGAGATAAAAACTACATTCAAAATGGCTGAAATTCGAATTCGCCAAATGT